CGCAACCGGGCACCGAGCCGTCGTCGACGAAGTTGAAGACACCCATCTGGTTCAGGTAGAGGATAATTTCGAACTCGGTTGGCGACAACACGTACGCGACGTCGTAACGGTCGCCGTTTTCGGTCAGCGTGCTAATGAATCGCGGTTCTTCTGTCTCCACCTCCTTCAATATGTCCTGCACGATTTTACACACGTCACGAATCGTTTTGCCGATGGTCGACTTGCGCGACGCGACACATTCCTGGTAGAAGCGGTTCAGCTGGTACATGGCCAGGTTCGGTTGGCTGAGCATCTGTGTACACCGTCTGCCGCGAGGATGATGACAAATACCGGGACCAGATACGTAGACGGAGATGGATGAGTGCCCGGCAGGTGTGTCGTCAGTGCTGTACTGCCGTACGTCTGCCGTAGCCCGGTCACCGCCCGCACAACCTCCTTGTAAATGCAACGGCGCGTTGGTTACCGATGGTCACAAACGACCACGGCAGTCAGTAGCGGCAACGGAGGCGAAGCGGTATGACTGCGGACGCGACGTCGACAGGTAGAGCACAGCGCTGAGTAAGTGCGAAGAGGCAGAGACGACGACGGCACGACGGATCCAGATCACTGTCAGATCACTATCGTCCGTCCGTCCGTATGTCTGTCTGTCTGTCGGTGCTTCTGTCTGTCTGTGTGTCGTTCGCCGGTTCGGTCGTTTGTTGCCGTTGGCGATGGCAAGAAACACTCTGCTTGTGTCTGTGCGTCCGTTTTCCAGCTCGTGGTCGCCAATGGAGACGGCAGCGGTGGAAGTGGCGGCGTAACACGGACTTGAGGGGTGGGTTAGATGGATGACTAGAAGTCAGTCTGGTAGAATCGAATCAACGACGAGACCGGCCGGTGCTCCTGCTTGCCTAATGATGATGATCTTCTTCCCTCTCTCGGTTCACTCTTCGCAGTCGGCAACATGGCAGGACGATCGGGGCGGGTCTCCTGTGCGTTCGACCAATAGACGAAGTCGACGTTACCTCAGCGACGACGAGTACAGCGACGGGCGGCGGTCGAATGGCGGTCTGCTTGATTCGTCGCGACACGTTGACGAACAGGCACGAAATGCAAGGTGACAGACGGCTGCCGATAGTGCTTCCAGGCGAGACAACTCCGACGACTCT